GACTCTCTTACCAATTTTGAACCTCCACTTCCCGTCATTCGTGTAAGAGAGTTCAAAGAGCGCAGTACCGTCCGTGTCGTTCATCCTCGCGCCCAACAGAGAAATGCTGGCTTCCTCCGGCACCGCGTGGATTGTCACCGTCGCCACAAGAGCGAACTCGTTGTTCGCAAAGTAGTACGGCTGGTTCTGCCCCTTGCTGCCCACCGGCCATTCCGCCCCCGCTGCTGCGCCTTTGAACCTCACGCCCCACTCCGTGCTCGTCACTGTCTCACCCTTCACTGTTGCTGTCACGCCGAGGTACTCGTCCTTCCATACAGTCCCGTCCGTTAATGTGTTGGACAAAAGGCCAACCAGCCCTCTGGTGGGAATGGAACCTATACACACATTCCTTATTGCCTGCAGGCCAACAGTATCAGTGGAAAGACAGTTTTGCAAGGCATTGTCCATATCTTTCCAGGCCTTCACCACTTTCTTTATCGGCTCCAGCTGCTTAGTCAGGCTCACGGCCACAAGACTGTACGAGTCGCCTTCATTCTTATCCTCGTACAGTAGAATCAACTCCTCCTTGTTACCGATTCTGTACAGCAGGGAGCTGGCGGCGGCATCATGCTCTTCACGTGATACCAGCCCAACGTCATGCACACGGGCATTGTCCGTCACCCAAAGATGCAGCCGGCCCTTGTAGTTGTCCCCCACCTTAGAATACACCGGCGTGGTGAGCAGCATCACCCTCAAGTTCTCAATCTTCGCGGCGGTGAACCCGCTTCGCACGCCGTCCCCTTTTCGATCATGTGAGTTGCCCTACACGCGTGAAATTGGTTCAGCGCCAAGCCAACTTTTACCATCCCCTGGCGACTTGTACACGTCGTAGGAGCCTTGCTCACAGGGAGCCATCGCGACGACTTGGTTTTCTCCCCACTCCGCGATGGATGGATCTCGGCAGCCCTTACCATCAGTCACACCAGACGAAAGCTCCCATTTCTTCTTTGGCTTGATGAAACGCATGGCCAGAAAAACGCCCTTTCCATTCTTCGTGTCTGTGGCCTGCATGGGGAACACAAGCGTGCCGTCCTGCAGCACAACACCCGACCCTCCGCCACCAGATAAATGAGTCAAAGATCCATGAACTCCAGATTCAGGCTTCACTGCATGGATCTCACCCCACTGGATCTTCTTTTCGTCATTCTCTCCAGTGACTATTCCCTTCACAAGGAACAGCTTCCAGCCGTCTTTACCGGGAACTTCAGCTTTAGATGTTGTACGGCTGTAGTTTCCCAGCAGCATGTAGACATCTTTACCACGTACAATTGTCGTTAGCTGCATTACCTCCGTTGCCTTCTCAGCCGCGTCACTGCCCTTCAGCAGCTGCATGTAAAAAAAGCTCGTGTTCTTCGTCGAGATCTTCGTGGGATCTGTTTCACTTATCTTAAGCTGCTTTGACACAATCCCAGTGAAGCAGCCGGCTTCTTGGTTGTCCTCCTTCCTGCTGCACTGAGCCTAAGCAACGGCAAACACAGCACCGTCCACCTCCACAAGGCTGGGGACACGCAGCGAGCGAACTGACCCTTCAACGCATTGCATTTCCTCCCCTTTGGCACCAGTTATCGGTGTCGTCCCTGTAAATAAATTAATGTCCGTCCCTGGGGCACTCCCCGCAGCTTCAATGCCACAGCATGTCAAGAGCACAAACAGCAGCAGCAGCACCAAATAAGAAAACAAATGCTAGGACATCTTGGGCATGTGTCGCTGCTTACTCACACTCTCTTCCCTCTGCGCAGTGAATCCGCTCAGGCCGCGACGGTTGCGTGTGTGTGTTGCTGGTGGTGACTACAGAGCGTTTCAATGTGCGCAGCAGCAAGTAGCGTTTAATATCTCTTCCTTCTGAGCATATTGAAAAAAAAAAGTGAGGTGAAACCAAAAAAAAAAACGATAGGCACCGCCCGCGCCCACAGTCGGGCATCACGCAAAGTACAGTGACATTCCAAAATGAAGGCCGCACCGATAAACGCGTGGGCCGCACAATCACACACTCGCCGCCGCCCACGAGAGACGGCAGCCGCAAAGAAGGCAGCGGTAGCAGCGACTGTTGTGCGCAGCCCTAAAAAGCACCCACACGCACCCGCACAGAGAGTCCGCAGTGTATGACGCCTCCCGCAGAAATCAAAAAAAAAATATCATAAGCACCTCGCTTACCGTCTCCCCCGCCCAGCCCCTTTAAACCCCGCCAGCAGCAACACGCAGTGCGCATGCCGGCGGGACCTCCCATCACGCCCCCACAAAATCCCCAACGCCGCCCCACTTCCCTCAGCGCACTGCAGAAGGAGTGGGGCGCAACGTCAAAAATGAAATTGAAAGAACAATAAAAACAATACAAAATAAACAGCGCACGCACCACCACCACGACACACGCAGCAGATGCCTTCCCTCTGCGGTCACAAAAACAAACTCTCGCAGCGACACCACCGCCACTAGCAACCCAGCCGCAATCGCCCGCCTCCCAGCCGCACCGCGGTGCTCGTGGAAGTGAAGCACCTCAAAGAGTCTCAGGGGAAAACAAGAAACCACTTCAATCACCACGCACGGCACGTACGCCTCCATACGACGTCGCCAACAGGCAGTGACGCACCTTCCGGTGCCAAAATTACAACGTGTTCTCCTCTTTACGCTGAGCAGCAACTGGGGGCGCGACGGCATCACACCCCGCCACGTGTGTGATTTGGCGCACTCGCAGCGTGCCGCACGCAAATAATTTCCCCCTCAACAACTCGTCAAAGAAAGTATCCCCATTTTATCAAATATACCTCGCCGTGCACTCACCGAACTGCCTCACTGTGCCGACACCGCCGCAGCAACCTCCACCCCAGCCGCCCTCCCACACAGGAGATTCACAAAAAAATGCCTCTACAGAAATAAAACAACAACAACGTCTTTGGGCCCACGCCTACGCACTGCGTGGGCTGACGGAAGTCAGACGGCAGCGCGGCCTTTCTGGTTTCGCCTCCTCCTGACTAAGCTCATGCGGGCTGGGCCTCAAGGACGGCCATGGAGCATCCCACACTCCTTCCACTCCCGCTGAGCCTACACAGCCCAGCAGCGAAAGAGCGTGCAATTCACGAGGCTTCTCTGAGCGGCCCACCGTGAACCCGCCGCGTGGACCTCCCCACCCACCCACCCCTGCCGTCACGCTCCAACGTGCAGAGGAGCCCGCGCACACTCTCCGCAGCCCCAGCCAACGCCTTCTCCTCTCTTACGGGACCCCCTTCGGCACCGCCGCCTCTCTCGTCCCACCCCTCGATGGCCTCCGCACGAGACTCACGCAAAGCCG